CTTCCATAAAATTAATCGATTCTAGACTAATCCGACTCAACATTTCCAAAATACGTATATATTTTTTGGGAATAATCTGTATAAACTACGCTATAAACAAAAAATTGTAGGATTATTTACCGAGTGTGCACCATTCGACATTGCCATTGCTAAAGCTTGTTTTCTTTGTGAAGCATCACACCAAACCGCGACCGATTTCTGATAACTTATTTTTCTGCGAAAACTTCGTTGAACTTCGGAGACATCATTAATATAAATAATTTTAATCGCCGTTGAATAAGAAATGTTTCTTTCACAAGAAATGTATAAAATTACAGTACTATATTAGACTTATGGTACTTAATTTACATACTGTACAGACGATAGTTAGCGTAAAAATCTCCGTAGCGTGGCGCCACGCTAGGAGATTTTTAGGCGGAAATTATATATTTAATTATAACAAAGTTACAATAAGTTAATATATAATTATATGTTATGTACAGTACCTAATTTATATATAATTTATATAATACTGTCCAGACGATAGAAATCTCTCCGTAGCGTGGCGCTACAGACGGCGGGAAAGTAGTTCGGCTGCCTGATGATGTTTAACATAATTATAGGGGGTTTTTTACTGTTTTTTACAGATACTGTCACAATTTTTTTGCAGTTTTATAGGAATTGTAATTATTGGGACCGTAATTATAGGGGGGTTGACTGTACTTTTTAAAATACCATGTACTTTTCAAGTTATTTAACTTGTCTTCAAGAAAAACAAACAAGAACACATTGCTATGGGAACTCAAATAGAATGTTTAAATATTTTTTAATACAAAATAAAATAAAAAAAACAAGGAGAGATTATTAACAGTAATAATTACTATTAATCATCTCTACTTAGTAATAAACAGTAGAATAAATTATTAAAATAAAATAAAACAAGGTGAAATGAGTGAGATAACTTGAAAGTACTTGAAAGCTATGTAATAGTTGTTTATATGCTTTATTAAAGCATATCTCATGGTTTTAGTTCAGTTGTGAAGTTATAGTTTATTCATATAATCTAATACTTTGATGTATGGTAAATGCATAGGTTTGTGTATTTGTATGAATATAAGTTATTGGAGTTACAAACAAGAAATGTAATTAAACCAAAACTATCCTCTCTATGAAAACACATCTATTTTTGAGAAAACAGACCAAAATCTTATAATTAATAAAATGCTGGTGTTTTCATTTTTATAGAATAAATTAAATCAAGTTTATTTCAACAGAAATAGAACTTTAATAAAAAGTTTAATATATGTTGAGTCAATATATTAAGTTGCATGATTATTTATTATATCTCTTAAATACAACAGATGGGCATAAAGTTAAAATAGTATGAAAATGTTGTAATTTAATTAATTGGTTGGATATATTCATNATGATTCATCTAGTAATGTTGCAACATCACATATTTTCCAGGTAAAATATTCAATAATTTTGTAAAATGTATCAACTTAATCAAAATTATTTAAATTAATATGATTTTTTATGGAAAAGTATATTAAGGCAAATATTCTACCCAACATTCAGAAATAAGTGCAATGTCTGTCTATGATTATGTATAATTTTATCACATACGAGTATGTAATTTTGTTAAGTTATTCAGGCCTACCTTACATATGCTTGTATATCAGGGTTGAATAGATGTTATTTGTTGTAATCAGCATTTAATTCTTATTATTATTTATAAGTAGAGATAGATTAACTGAAGTGAAAAAATTAACTTAAAACTGTTATCTCTTGCACAATAAAAGCATTAAACTTAATTATTCTTTACCACATCATTATCAAGTTAAAGTACATCAACACTTTTGCTGCTGCATTGAACCAAAAAGTTTCACTGAATATGCCAGTTTGGTTGTTTTTTTCATAAAGTATGTCACTGTTATATACAGATTAAGAATAAAAAGAAACTTTATTCATTTTGAGCAAAATTTATTGAATTATATATAATGATGGGAAAGTGTGTCACCAGCATCTACCTGAGGACAAAATGATGAAAAATTGTTATAATTAAATATATCATGGGAAATAAAATCAAAGTAATAAAATATAACCTCCAAACTGTTTGTTACATTTCCAGTTAGTAATAAATGACATCTGAAAACAATGCATGTGCAATTTTAAAAAAATTTCAGCCTTTGAATGATGCAAAATTGCATTAATTTGCAGTAAAAACGTTAAAATACACTGATAACAACAGCAGCAACAAGTATTATCAGTTGCTAATTGTGATAACAACTGAACTTCCTATCAAATACTGGAGGTAATATACTTCCTTCTACCTGTATAAAAACCTTCCAAATCTCCAGTGATACTCGTTTAAGCAAACGTTTTCGACCCTACCAGGGTCTTCATCAGGCTACTGTTACAAAAATTCAAACGAGTGCAAACCATCAGGCTACTGTTACAAAAATCCAGAGATGCAGTCAACATTTCTAGTGCATGGAAGTTTTGCTACGAAGGAACACCCCCACACATAATTAGGTGTAATATGGTTTTATTGCAAGCGCAGGTTGCGCATGCTTTGACGACATCGCTACAAGAGCGTGGTGTTCTATTTTTGATATTAACGTTGACATTCGAAGATTTGAATCGCAGTTATTTGGTTCCTGTTCGATTTCGCACTGTTTGAATTTTTGTAACGGTAGCCTGATGAAGACCCTGGTAGGGTCGAAAACGTTTGCTTAAACGAGTATCACTGGATATTTGGAAGGTTTTTATACAGGTAGAAAGAAATTGTGATAACATTAAAAAAGTCCCAAAACATATCTAAAATATACCATTATTATAATAAGTTTGAGTCATTAGTTTCAAGTAAAGGAGCATTTTTAAGTTATTTCTTTTTTTATGTTATTGGTCTCAACATATGACTAACAATTCACAGTTGTTATCAGTTACCAGCTATTTTATCAATTTTAATCAGTACTTTAAATGTTAATTTAATTATTATTTGTTCACAGTATAATAGTTTAAATTTTTGGCATTTGTTATTTCAGTTATATACAGCATGAATTACTATTAATTAATTAAAATAAATATTTTAGTTATATATAATTATATTATTTTAACATGTCATTTTAATGTTGTAATGAATATAACTGAAATTTCAACAAATTGTAGTTTTATTTACTAACTCCATTTAATGTTATTGGTTGCTCTCGTTATCAGTTTATGTTATTACAAGTGATTACAATAAGTAGATTCTGCTTTATCATGCTTTTATAAAAAAAATTAACATTTGAATATATTTTTCATTAATAATCTTAATGAAAAACATTCAAATTCCAGATTATATATCACACTATATTAAGGCTAATAATTGATTAAATACGAATCATTTTGACTAGATATAGGTGTGAGATCTGACCCGTGTGCAAACCAATTTTCCACTATCCGCCAAACTTTTTGACATATTTTAAATAAATTTGTCGTCTCTTCGTTAAAATAATATTGTCAGAAAAAAGGAATCAAATATCTCATCAAAAATAATAGAAACTTAAAACTCTCCTCTTTAATGTAAACATTCAACCATCTAACAATGGCATTTTTCTGCTGCAAGACTTAAAGTTTACAATTAAAGTCTGAATTCGTCATTTTGTTGTGGACTTTAACCTCCACATCTGCTAAAACAACCTTACCTTCCACAATAGTTGATCACATGACGAATTTTCCCACCCCGAAGCTATAAAAGCCACTTCTTTCCCCACCTCGGGGGAGTCTCTCATCTACAGCTGGTCAGAAGGGATTGAGTCTCAAAAGATTTTTATAACTTTGTTCGCAATCACAAGACAAAGGACTAATATTCTCTTCTAAGTGGAATTATCCTAGAGGTATGAAACAATTAATGTGAACTCTCTCTCTGTGTATTAGGAGCTAGTGTACCAAGTTAAGGGTTCTTGATGTTAGAGTTTGTAATCATTAATTTTTGTTTAATCTAATAAACCATTGTTTCCATTGTTAAATTGTGTCATTTACTCGCATATCGCCTATGTCTCATCGATGACCCCTCTCACCTCCTCCACTCAACCCAACAAACAGGATCCCGACCCCTCGGGATCAAAACTCATAAACAAGCTGTCCCCTGACAAGTGGGCAGTTTTCACCAAACTGTTGCTGACAAAAAGAGGTGCGACCTTGTCATACCTCTGGTGTCCCACATAAGTGGTTAAGCTACCATCTTTTGATAAGTTCAATAATTACAATTGAATTAAATTAAGTTAATTTAGAATATTCTGAAATAAAAATTTTACCTGGTATAGAACTTGAATTTACAACTCCTGCTTACTGTGTGGGTACATTGCCAGTAACATATCTGCACAAGGCAGATGTGTTTGGCAATATAAATATATCAGGTAGTTGTTTACTGTTTACTTTTAAAATTGTATTCAGTAGCAAAAAATAACTTACCCAATCAGATTGTTTATCTTGAATATATGTTTAAAAGAAGTGACATCATCATTGCTTATTATGTTTACCTTATTTTTGCCATCATATTCTAATTTGCAACTCTCAAATGAAAAATTGTTATTAAAAAAAATTGTAAACTTTAATGAAATGTTTTCTCATGCAATTTTAATAAATTTTTTATAAGTGAAATGAAACTGGATGAAATACTAATGAAACTCTCATTTTAAAGTTTCAGCATTACAGAACATTTTATCAGAATAAGAACAAATGCTGTATGTTAATATAATGCGATAAGAAAAAGATATTCAAAATTTGGAACATTAGAAATATTTAAATCCTATTCATAAAAATTTTTTGCTGTAATATTTTTCAGTTTTTAAAATCTTAGTTTAAAGTTTATCTTAAAGGCTTTCAATATAAACATAAAATTTGTTATACTTTTAAAATTTTTAAATAAATTATTTTTTTATCATATGCTAATATTTATATTAAATAAAACTGAATTTATGCTTATATATTGAAATTTTTTAGGCTCTGCAGTATTTGAGAAAAGTGTGCAACCATCCAAAATTAGTATTAAGTAATCAGCATCCTGAATTTGAACGTATTAGTACTCAATTAAAGGAACAGAATTCAACTCTTTCTGACATTCATCATGCAGCCAAGCTCTGTGCTTTAAAGTAAATATTAGTATTAATTACAGTGATTTAATTTTACTGTTTTCCTATACTAAACATAGTTTTATGTATATTAAACATTTCTAAATAAACACTCTAACACAAAATCCAGCAAAGAAAAATACTTTAATAAGCAAAACATTTGTAAATTCAAATGGAGATGACAATTGGAATACAGTATTTAAATAAAAGGAACATCAATTTTATTGAATGCAACATACACATATGTATCATCTACTACACATAAAGTTCAAATGAATTATTGTTTGTGCTTTTACAGGGATGGAAAAGCATCCAATTAATGTACCATACTTTACAATGGTTGAAAATGATGTTTGTTTTGTGTGTTATACTAAAGTATTTTTTCTTAGTGGATTTTGGTGTTAGAATGCTTATTTTAACTGCATCCAATTGTATAGATTGTTTATTTAAAAATGTTTACTTTGGTTACAATAAGAGATATGGTATATCACATTGAATTAACATAAAGGAATAAAGCCAAGCAACTACAGGATTACATTAAGCTACTTTTCTGCAATTACACATTATTAATTATTAACTAATTTGTTACTAGAGGGAGGCATTAGGTGTCAGCTCTTATTAAATTTAATAATTAAATTAATATTTGTTGAATAATTTAGAATATTCTGAAAGAAAAGAATCATGGAAAAGTAGCTTGATGTAATCCTGTAGTTGTTTGGTTTTGAAATTTTATTGGGTTTGTTTATGTGCATAAAGTAATATGTGAATTTAATGAAATATAATGTAGTGTATCATATGTTGTTATAGTAAGTTTTTTTTTTAAATAGATTTTTTCCCCCTCTTAGCTATCTCTTAAAATTAATAAAAACATTAATTAATTAATTGTTATATAATTTATTGTTATATGCAAATGATTTTTCTAAAAATATTTAAATTTTTTAAAAAGATATATTTAATAAAATTATATATTTACTAGGTAAAAATTTAACAAAATAACAATTGATTATTTTTGATTGTATTAATTTTTTTGCATTTGCTATTGTAGACAATTGCTCTTAGATTGTGGCATTGGCACAGAAGCCCTAAATAGCAATACAGGAACAGAACTAGTAGTTAGCCAGCATCGAGCATTAGTATTTTGTCAGCTCAAGAGCATGCTGGATATCCTGGAAGTTGATTTATTTAAGTGAGTAAATTTTTATTTATATTTTTAAAATTTTTTATATTTAAAATTATAACAGTTTAAGAATTGAATTAATATTATACAATAAAATCTATGAAAGCCAGAATTGCATGAAACCTTGAAAACTTTTTGGCTTACTTGTTAGACAAGTTACAACAGAAGTGGTCATTGCTTTAAAATGTGAATATATTTTTTTTGCCAATTTTTAATCTGATATGATAGTTACATTTATTGAAAATAACTTAAAATAAAAAGAAAAGGGGACACAGAAAATAAAATATGCATTAATGTGTATTCTGAAATGAAAAAAGAAAGTACACAGTTCTAAGTAAAATTTCTTTGTAGTTTTCCTGAAAATATTGACTTTTATATGTCATCTTGAATGGTTTGCTTGAATTTAATAGCCTTGAGCTATTGCTGTATTTGTCTTAGTCATAATTAACTGTGAATTATCAACAATTTCAGTAATATGTATGGTTTAATATGACACTATATAGTGAAATCGGAGCAATATTCTTAATATTTTAAAAAACTAAAATGTACTTAGATCAGAAATGCAAATATATAAAATACAGCATAAATATAAATACAAAATTGAGTAGAACATGCTTTTTTTTTACACACTGAAAAAGTTTATTGATGTGTAAGCAATAGAACTCTCTAGTTATGAGGTCTGTCTAGATTTGAAAAATAGTGCATACTTTTTGCTAGTATCTGTAGGAACTAAGATACAGTATAAGCAAAATAAATATTGGTAAATTTGATTTCATTCCTAGTGTGTTTATCATGCTTTTTGATTCAGGATTCTTTAGTTTAAATTTTTGTTTTTGACAAATTCTAATTATTGTAAATTAATAACAAGTATAACACATAATTTATAACTATAGAGATATGTAACTTTTTATTTGTAATTCATAGATTTCACTATAAACAGGCTATTCTGTGAGAAAAATGGTAATGCTGAAATAAATGCAGTTTTCTGGCTTCCTTAAGTTTCCATCATAGAGAGATTCTTCCTCTCACTGGTTTTACTGTATACAAATTAAATTAAATTAAATTACAGATGTTATTAGAATAAAAATTGTAATAAGTCATTTGGCAATATATATTGATTAAAAATGAATAAAGAAACAGCTTTAAAATGGCTTTATGTTTCCACTATATATCAGTATTTGAACAATTATTTCAAATACATAATGAAGGTAAAATAATAGTTTTTGTACTATTTAAAGAATTTATAAGTTTCTGAAATTGATTATATTGTTTTGTTTTTATGAAATTTTTGTTCTTTCTGTGATATAAGTTCTGATAGGGAAATTATACTTTCTAAAAATATTTAATTGTATAAATAATGATTATTGGCTCCTCATCTTAAAAACAATTTCTTTATTTTATTTGTAAAAAATATAGTGTCTTAGCAACTGCTTTGTAATTATTAATTAAATAAATATATTATTATTATTATTATTATTATTAAATATTGTTCTTTTTATAGAACACACATGCCATCTGTCAGTTATTTGAGGCTGGATGGTAGCATTCCTCCTGGTATGCGTCACACAGTGGTACGTCGTTTTAATGCTGATCCATCCATTGATGTATTGTTATTAACTACACAAGTTGGAGGTTTAGGTTTGAATTTAACTGGTGCAGATACAGTAATATTTGTAGAACATGACTGGAATCCTATGAAAGATCTTCAGGTAGAATTTTACCAATTTATATTATATATATTGTATAATTGTATATATATATACAGTCGACCCCCCTATAAGATAGAGATACGTTCCATTCTCTAGGAATCCGCTTTCTTACGAATCCTTCCAATCACAACCCGACACGTGTCAAGTTTACGGACTACGGCTGTTTGAAAGATTTTCTTCCATAAAATTAATCGATTCTAGACTAATCCGACTCAACATTTCCAAAATACGTATATATTTTTTGGAAATAATCCGTATAAACTACGCTATAAACAAAAAATTGTAGGATTACTTACCGAGTATGCACCATTCGACAACCCCATTGCTAAAGCTTGTTTTCGTCGCGAAGCAGCACACCAAACCACGGCCGATTTCTGATAACTTATTTTTCTGCGAAAACTTCGTTGAACTTCGGAGACATCATTAATATAAATAATTTTAATCGCCGTTGAATAAGAAATGTTTCTTTCACAAGAAATGTATAAAATTACAGTACTGTATTAGACTTATGGTACTTAATTTACATACTGTACAGACGATAGTTAGCGTAAAAATCTCCGTAGCGTGGCGCCACGCTAGGAGATTTTTAGGCGGAAATTATATATTTAATTATAACAAAGTTACAATAAGTTAATATATAATTATATGTTATGTACAGTACCTAATTTATATATAATTTATATAATACTGTCCAGACGATAGAAATCTCTCCGTAGCGTGGCGCTACAGACGGCGGGAAAGTAGTTCGGCTGCCTGATGATGTTTAACATAATTATAGGGGGTTTTTTACTGTTTTTTACAGATACTGTCACAATTTTTTTGCAGTTTTATAGGAATTGTAATTATTGGGACCGTAATTATAGGGGGGTTGACTGTACTTTTTAAAATACCATGTACTTTTCAAGTTATTTAACTTGTCTTCAAGAAAAACAAACAAGAACACATTGCTATGGGAACTCAAATAGAATGTTTAAATATTTTTTAATACAAAATAAAATAAAAAAAACAAGGAGAGATTATTAACAGTAATAATTACTATTAATCATCTCTACTTAGTAATAAACAGTAGAATAAATTATTAAAATAAAATAAAACAAGGTGAAATGAGTGAGATAACTTGAAAGTACTTGAAAGCTATGTAATAGTTGTTTATATGCTTTATTAAAGCATATCTCATGGTTTTAGTTCAGTTGTGAAGTTATAGTTTATTCATATAATCTAATACTTTGATGTATGGTAAATGCATAGGTTTGTGTATTTGTATGAATATAAGTTATTGGAGTTACAAACAAGAAATGTAATTAAACCAAAACTATCCTCTCTATGAAAACACATCTATTTTTGAGAAAACAGACCAAAATCTTATAATTAATAAAATGCTGGTGTTTTCATTTTTATAGAATAAATTAAATCAAGTTTATTTCAACAGAAATAGAACTTTAATAAAAAGTTTAATATATGTTGAGTCAATATATTAAGTTGCATGATTATTTATTATATCTCTTAAATACAACAGATGGGCATAAAGTTAAAATAGTATGAAAATGTTGTAATTTAATTAATTGGTTGGATATATTCATGTAGAAAAAAATTTAATTTCTAACTTCAAAGATAAATATTTAATGATTCATATAAAACAAGACTATTTTTTAAAATGTTAATTTAAAAAAATTAATAAAAAGTATTTAAATAAAATTTTGTTTTAATGCAAAAAGTATTTATCATAAAGAATTATTTTTATATATATAATCATTTTTTTCATCATTTTCACATTTTAATCAATGAACAGAAATACTTCTTACTATTCTTATTCAGTGCTATTTTCTTAAAACAATTTATTAGTAGAAATACTATTTTAATTTGCATTTTACATTACATCAAAGAAACTTCTTTGAATGAAATTTAATCTTTAAACTTCTATAAAGAGATATGTTCTAGATAGAAAAATGCAAGATTGGTTATATTAAAAAAATCTGACTTTTTAAAAATAGTTTTATTATAAGAAATTTTAAATTATATGCATCAATTCATACAATATTTCTACTGTTTGAAAGCATATTTTAATGTTTTTTTTTTAAAGCCCTTTTAAATGCATTTCCATTATCATCATCAGCTTATTAAAATGTTGGAAATGGGCTTTTTATTTTAAGAAACAAAAGTCAAATGGTGATAAATCCAATGAATAAGATGAATATTCAACTACATTTATAAGCTGTTTGCCAATAGATGATGCATTATCTTGAATCAGGCACTAACCATTTTTCTATAAACTTGGTCTGTTTTTTTCCTCACGTGTTCTTTCAGTTTTAGAAAAACTTTGTGTAATAATAGAAATCAGTCCAACCTTGAAGGACCTACTCAATCAAAATCATATCTTTAATATTGAAGAAAACTAGCAACATGGTTTTAATTTTTGACTTTATCATTGGAGTTTTTATTTCTTTCAAAAACGGTATCTTCCAATGCATTATTATTTTTATTTTTAGTTTCTGGGTTATACTTAAGCACCCAAAACTTGCCACAATCAATTACACATTTAAAAATATTATTCAAAATGTCTTAAAACCTTGGCACAATGTTGCATATGTAGTAGTATGAGTTTTTATTACATTACATTGTACACCTGGAGAGAGAGAGAGAGAGAGAGATCTAGGTGTGTGATGGGTATACTCCTCTATGAGCATTTGCAAAGGATCAGACAGTTCAATCCTTAAATTTAAGATATATATGCAGAGAAAAAGACTTCATAATGACAATGAATTTAACAAGTTTTATTGTTTTTTCTTATTAAAAATTTTCAGTATTACTAAAATTAATACAAATTTTTTAACAAAACTTATTGCTTTTATTACTGGTAATATTTTGAAGATGTAAATTACTAAATTTTATTTTATTTTTTAGTTTGCAGAAATTTAAACTGACTGTTGCAAATACAGTCATCAGCCAAGAAAATGCCAGTCTTCAGACCATGGGAACAGATCAACTTCTTGATCTCTTCTCACTAGATTTAACCAAAAAGTCTGATGCTTCAGAAAGCAGTGGTGGTCATCAGGCTAAAGGTAAAGGTATCAAAGCAGTTCTTGATACTCTTCCTGAACTCTGGGGTCCAGATCAGTATGAAAAAGAGTATGATTTACAAAATTTTATGCAGTCTCTCAGGAAATGAGTTAATATAACTGTTGAATTGCATTGTTAAAACATTGGACTCTAAAAATTCCATACCTTTAAATTTTTAGAGGATGACGAGTCACAATTAACAGACTAATCTTTTTGAATTTGCACTATAAAGAATACAGAATTTTTTTATAAATGATTTTAAACACTTGCAACAGCCCAATCCTTGTATGTAATAAATGAAAGTCCATTAAACTTTTTATAATTAACCATTTCTGAATTTGTCATTATTTTTAAACACTTGCTAGATTATTATTAGTATTAGAATGATATCAATTCCAAACTTACTTTGAAAAAGTAAATAAATAATAAATATACTATCTCAATTTAATTCACAGTAACAAAAAATTTAATAGATTTTAGCCTTTTTATCTGTGATGCAATGAATTTCAACAAATGTGTTGCAAATAAAAGATCAAAAATACTAACAGCTATATAAGTAGATAAATGAAAGGGACCAAATCTCAAAATTCAAATAACAATAGATATGACTGAAAATTTGCATAAAGTAATATCATAATTATTTTCTGTAAAGAAATACATTTAAAGCTATATTTTCAATAATTATACGTACGTTATCGAAATTATTTTTCTTTTTATATACAGAAGAAATATTATTATTATACTTCTCTAAGTCATGTATCAAAATAATAACTATAATTAATGCTTATATTTAACAATAGATAGAATTTTTTATTTTTTTTAAAATTATGTGTTAGTTCTTTTGCTTAGGAAGCCAATGCAAGAGACTTGTTTAGTTAGGTATATGCATTTTTATTTTCCCTCTCTTCAGTCCTTTTATTTTATTGACTCTTCTGTCAAATGAGCAATATACTTTACTTACAATATTATAAAAGGTAAATTATATTGACCTTGCATTTTCTTTAAAAACTTTACATTTAACGTAATACCTAATAAAAATTCCATATATTACAGTTGTCAGCATTATTACAGTCTTATTTCTTATATAATAAAACTAATTACAGTGAAAGCTTGATTATTTAAACTTAAGGGATCAGGAGGATTTCAGATGAAAAAGTTTTGGATACATCAGGCACTGTGCATTTAAAGTTATAATTATTGTATGTGAAAATAAATTAATTTATTGAAAAACTTAGTGTAATGTTATGTACATGATTTAGTTTTGTGGCATTACAATCAACAGATGATGATTTAATTTCTAGTTAGATGGCGAGTGGTTTGTGTATTATATATTAACTTATCATGGAATATACGTAAGTACAACAGTACATGTTCAGGTTTTTTGAAAACATTTTTAGATAAGTAAGTTTCTATTGTATATTAGTCTAGATGGTTCATAGTATTTTACTTTTCTTCCACTGTTACAAGCTTGCTGTCTCTAAAAAGAGACTTGCAACTGAAAATTATGAATAGCTAAACTATACTCAACAGAAAATGAAATTCCTAGAGTTTCCATTATGTACCACAAGAAAACAAAGAAGAAAAATAGGCAGAAGATACTTGAAAGTAGAATTACCACATGGTGTCCAAAAGGGATAACATGTTCTCTTTTTTAGAACAATTTTTTCTCCATTAAAAATTTTTTATCAGGTAAGCCTAACTGAAAGACACAAGAGCACAACACAGACCATCCATTACTCCGTCTATATCCAGTTAATTATCTGGACCTGGTGATTTTAGTTACTTAAAATAATTTATTCTCCAGTCGGTTTCAACAATTTTAAGTTCAGTACCCCGTGTGTATTATTCTTCAGTACAACTAAGAGAGTTGATAGAAAGATATGCATTATGTAATTTTGGAGGTGGATATATGCAACAGCATTACAGAACATTCAGAGTGTGGGATGATAACTGAATTCCAAATAAAAAAATAAAATTAAAAAAAGTATCTAGACTTTATAAAAATAGATAAATTTTATTACAAAAAAATTCCGTTAGTAATTGATTTCAATTAAAAACTGTATGTAAAAAATTGTTAAATGTTTTGTTTTATATATTAGATTTCACATATCTGTAAGAAGTGTTGAAATTTACATCCAAATTTATGAAAATATATATTTTAAAATTAAATGAAAAAAATTATCTGAATTAACTAATTTTCAAAGTTATTCTGTGAAGCAAGCACATAACATGTAATATAATAGGTAGATGATGATCCTTTTTTTTTAATGTTTAACAAAAAATAATTTGATTTATATATGGAAATTATATATTTAATGTAAAATTTTATAATTAATTATTATTCATATTAATATGTGATATATTGTTAATTATCTATGAAAATTCATAGTGAAAAGTGGTGTTTTCTTTAGTACACATCCTCTGTACTTTGATACCAAATGCACTCTACGATTTTTGATTTTATCTTATTTTAATTATAAACAAACTATATAGAGAATTAATCTTTGTTTTCAGAACAAACTATATAAAAAATATACTTTACTTGAGATGTTATTGATCAGTATATCAATATATTATTGTCTGATAGTAAATTGTGTCCATATAAATTATCATTAAACATTATCAAAGTGAAAATTGAGATATTGTTTAAAATATGCCTTTATTAAGAGCATTATCAAAATATATTGTTGGTAATTACAATATCATATTTTATAAAAATAAAATGTGTCCGACAGATATTGAATTAAATATGAAAACTAAGGGATATTCAAAAGCATACAAAGAGGAAGTTTGTACAATACATCTATAAAAATGAAACAATAATTTTATTTCAAGTAGTAATTTTTCAGTTAAATATATTTATACTTAATCTTGAAGGACAATAGACTAGTGATTGAAGCAAATTGATACATATGCTTTTTCCCCCTCCTGTTTTTATCTGTGGAGAACTGGAACTGTCCATTTTTCTGTATAAATAAATGGTGTAAGTCAAAATCGTTTATTTTCTTAATTATTTTATTATTTAAATCTATACATTTTTTTTTGTTCCATTCAAAAGAGAATATCTTACAAGTAAATTCCATTTAAAAATTATTTCTTATTCTTATTTATTACATTTTTTAAAATTCACTTATAATTCATTACTTTAAAATCACAATGTTAATATGTTATGACTAGAGCTAGGATATTAATGCTCAGATATAGGGAAATAAAGTAATTTACAAGGAAACATTGCAAATTATGATTAATTTCAGTGTGAAAAATCATTTATTTTTAAAACGAATGTATTTACAGTCGACCCCCCTATCATTGATTTTTCCGTTTTATCTGAATTACATGTTGTACGAGTCACTTAGATTTTACAAATATGTGAGCCATTCACAGTCCGGCACACGTATTTGTAAAATCTAAGTGACTCGTACAACATGTAATTCAGATAAAACGGAAAAATCAATGATCTTATAGGGGGGTCGACTGTATANTATTATTATTATTATTATTGTATAAATTTCTATGAAAATAGTATACCACTGTATTTGATATATGCGGTAGCAACGAGGCATTAACTGCGTTAAGAGATCTGTATATAAATATATATACTTATACACGATTCCCACGTTGATCTCTACGACATCTTTTTATTTTGATCTGTACCACAGGCATTTAACATATACGATGTCGTGACGAAATTCATTTTTCAAAACGCAAATGTTATAACCGGTCGCTGGCTGCACACATGGATGTATTAAACGTTTCTTCATCATTTTGTCGGCTGTGACGATGGACATGCATTTCCTCTGTAACTGTGGGTTTTAATCTTTTATACAGAACATTAGAAGCATACCACCAAATTTGTGTTTCGATCATATAAAAAAAATCCATCAACGAGTTGCTTAACTTACCCGGCAACATTTAAAGCTGCGTGTTCATTAAACATTAAAAATCTATTATGATATTTTATTTTTAAAAACATTTTATATTATTAATTATTATAAAATGGCAAAAAGCTTAATTAATATTTAGGGCAGAGAGAAGTTTTTTTTTTTGTAGTATGATACGAGACATTTTTAGGCTTTATCGCTAAAATAGTCTTTTAGTAAGCTCTTAAATATCTCCATCGATTTTGTTGAAAATTCGTTACTCCCCAAAAAAGTTGCTTTAGCGCCATTCCGGGATTAGCGGCCCTGAAGCTTAGGTTTTAGGTTTCATTAGTTTCGTAATAGATTTGCCACTTTGGCCCTTGTCTCTCCATTATGGATCTGCACGAACACGAAGTGGATATAAAAAAAAAATCTTTTATCCTTGCCAAGAATATAAACAAAAAAAAAAATATACGACTAGATCTGGATGTTTGCAAAAGCTACGTTTTGTATTTGTCCTCTAAAATTAAATAACTAATTAATGAACGCATATATATATATATTTTTTAAACTTTTTCCGCCCTGTGGGCACGCTAAGAGGGCCTCTTTTTAGAAACGCATTATGAGTTCGACCAGGCCCACAATTGGGCGGCGAAGCCTCGACATATCCAGACGGACCACTCCCCCGAAAATTTCCTGGGGATATTTCGACCCGTTCAGATTCGAGCCCAGGTCCCCCAGAACGGTAGGCTGCCACCTTGACATTTCGGCCATCCTGCAGTCGAATGAGTATATCTTAGGTGGTGAATATTTTCGTATAACGCGTTATAAACATCACACCGTTTGCATAATTCACTCCCTCCTTGCATAAAAGTTTTGCACCCGGATAGAATTGTTCAATTATTGCAAAACTTGGCATACAGTTACTTAAACGATTACAGTTGTTGCCCGATCCACGCCAGATAATACCATCAGGGTGCCTTAAAATCTCTTCCAGTGTTTTTGTAGAATACTAGTGGGGGATCGGTGTCCGGCATTTCAGTTATATTTGCCTTTTTAAAGGTCTTCGAACGCCAAACACGCTCATACGACAGTGAATGGCATCAGGCACGGCCGACATTTGACCGTGTTTGACAAAGACCGTATCAACGGCTTTATGAAAGCGGTATGACATTTTACCGAATTACTCGCCATCTGAGTCTATTGCCAGGCGGTGTTTGGGGAGTGTGTTCGCCATGAATTCGATACCCGATTCCCTAGAGCAGTAGGCTGCCATTTTGACCGTTCGGCCAAGTAAAAATTGGTTTTATCCTCAATACACAAGAAACGTAATGAATGAATTGTATTTAGCGTTTTTGAGGCCGTGAGTCCAGAGACAATTGGCTCTACTGGTTCATTTGTGGTATGGCCCGTTTCCGGTAAAAGTAATCACTAATATTGTTGATAATGCCACATTATTACAAGAAGAATTAAAATTTAAAATGTTAATACGTTGACGGCAAGAAAAACAAGCAATTAAAGTGTAGCAAATAATCGTTGTTTTTATCTTCGGGTATACATTTTTTAAGGATGCGACTGTCGATTATCGAACAAAGTGAAAATTAAGGCGATTTTTTTTCTATAATTTTTGACCAGATGGGGTGATGAGCTATCTTCCGACTGACTCATGGAGTGACTCATCTTTAAAATCTCTGATCGAAACACGCGGATGTAATGACGTCATTGACGGTTCCGAAATTTAGCGTAAATTTTTAACTTTATATTCCGGATATTTTTTCTGTGCGAGATCGCTCCCATTCGTCATTCGCGGAGGCGTAAAATCTTTGGGAGAAGGTCCTTCTTTCGTCATTTCCGCCATTCGAGTGCGGGACAGGTGCGGTTCCGGTTTCTTCGGAGAAAAGTTCGTGTTGACTGACCAGAGTCCGCGAATTTTTCTTCTAGAAAAGTGTAAGTATTCTTTTTTCTAACGTTTCCTTCGTTTTGACGTGCCGCAGTAGAGCCGATCATTTTTTAAAAACGAAATTCGGTGCCGTAGGATTTCATTTATAAGGCAAACAGTGGTCGAGTGCGGCTGACAACGCCTCCCAGTCTAAGCCTAACTTCATTTCCTGCCAAATTAAAACCTCCGACTTCTCGTTTTATTTATTTTAATATCGTTTTTTAGTCGACGTATTCAAATCTGCATTCTTAACAAATGAAATAAACACTCGATCGTTGATACTTTCTATTTTCTTTTGACCCACTGTCCTAGCTGCTACGATCGTGTCACTTCGTCGGTTGACGAACTTTGCTCTGAAGTTCCCTTCACTTAATGCTAAATACGAGTTTAATTCGATAAATTTCTCTCGTATTTTACATTAAAGGTATACTTTGTCACTCAAATTCAAAGCCTTAAATACCGGTCAAACCACATGACTAATCAATTGGAAATTTTTGAAATATGAAGTTCTCAATTTAATTACTTTTAAATATATTTCAGGTCAAGAAAGTTTATCGTTTATTATTGAAAGATGAAATTGTATTAATGTAAATTGTTTGATAAACGTATTTGTTATGATTATAATAAACAGACATGTTGAAATATAATCTGTTACTGTTTAAAGTGATTGTGACTACTATTACAATCACTTTAGAATGTTTACAGTGTTTAAACTGTAAGCAGACAGACTTGATGGTTCCGGAGCTGCTGTTGAGTATTTTTCTGCCAAACACCCCTCTACGGTAGTGCTCTTTCCGAACGTATTTGGTGCTTTGTCATGTTTGATAGCATCTTTCCTTTATGCTACCCGAAACTGACCGATACAGTGTTGCTTGTCATTCAGCAGATCTGGATTGCTACGTAACGGCTACTGATTTGCTCGGTTACGACTGTTGAGTCTGCCAAACGCTGTCGATGCGAGATGATACCTTGCTTTATTTTACTGGTTAAAAACAGTCTCCTTTTCTTTCAAAATTGTGCTGGTATATTTTAGATGTGGTCCTATCAAAAAATATATTAATCAATTATTTCTTACAGAATTACAGAAATATGAAGAAGTTTAAAAAAAAAAAAAATACCATTTATATGATCAATTCTGTCCATTATAGACTATACATACATTACTGTATACTATAATATATATATATATATATATGTGTGTGTGTGTGTACATATAGTGTTTAATATTTAACATAATGTGTATCATTCATCTGACCATACATTAATCCAAATCTTTATATATTACGATTGATTTTTTTATTTTGTAAGACAAAATGATAAATCTGATAGATAAAATAAATATAAAAAAATAATGATTATGTTTTTAAAGTTAACATTTAAAAGATGTTGTCTAAATCAATGGTTCCCAATTAGTAGTACGCATACCCCTGGGGGTACACGAAATTGCATGAAGGGGTACACGTGGCAATCTAAAATCGGTCGATTCAAAATTTAAATGCATGAGATGAAGCAATCAAAACAATAATGGGTGGACTATCAAAGATTCGGCAATTTACAACACGATGTCGAATGCACAAATTCGTTTATTTATAACTAAAAATATTCTCGAAATTTCGTTTAAAAAAAAATGCATTTATGACAATACCTAAATGAAATTCTTACGCAAGAAACAAAAATTGTACAATTAACATTACTATCATGTCAGTGAAGCGACAATAAAATATTTACTACCATTTTGCACAATACACCTCTGCGAGAGTGGATTTTCAGCTGTGACAAACATGAAAACTAAACATCGTCATCGACTTCAACTCAAAGATGACTCGAGACTGAAGCTGACCAAAAAGCAACCAGATTTTACAAAAAGTTGTGCAAAGAAAATTGTGTACATTTGTCACATTAAAATTAAATAACCTTATGTTGTTTTCATTATTATTCGAATTGTATTTTAAAGGTAATAAATGTAAAAAAAACTTATTCTATTTATCACTAGCTGTCTACCCACAGCTTTGCTTGCATTATATCGAATTTTCTTGTGGGAGTAAGATATTTTCTCGCAGTAAAATATAGCCTATGTCCATCTCCAACATGTAAGCTATCTCTGTGCTAAATTTTATTAAAACCTGTTCAGAGGTTTAGACGTGAAAAGGTAACAGACAAACAGGCAGAATTACCTTCAAATTTATAATATTAGTGTGGATTAATATGAATTTCTGCTAAGGGGTATGCAAGTTTGAGCTCTTTCTTGAAGTGGTATGCAGGAAAAACTAATTGGGATCCACTGGTCTAAATCATTGGCTTTGTGATGAAATAAAGAAATGAAGAAACAAATATGATTTTTAATATGGTAGTTGTGTTAGAATGTGGACATCTAAACGTTAGAAATGATAGTTTAATAAAACCATAAAAATACTGACAGGCTTTTTTTTTAATACGTATATGCATAATATATTCTAAAATGACGACATTTTAAAGTGAAACTGAAAGACAAATAATTTATTTACACATCCATGAAATCTCTAAATGTGTCAAGAAAAGATAGAGAACTGGCAGTAGTGCTTCATCTTGAGTAGTAATAATTGATTAAACTTTGCAGAGAGAGAGAATGAAAGTTTGCAAATGATGAAATGTTTTAAAAAATAATGCAATAACATTTTATACCTGATAGTTTTGAAAATAAGAAATTTAAAAGCAAGTTTTATTGTTAAAAGTGATCCTAAATCTGAATTTCTATTAATATAAAATAATAATGGTTGATTTTAGATGAAAGAGAAGACCTTTTCCATAGACAATAACAATAATATCTGTTTTAGAGAACTTATCAGGTTGCGACTAGTGCTACAGAGTCAGTAGACCAATGTGCTGACTCAGAATTTTAGGAGATCCTACTCTAGCTCCTGCTTCTAAATAATAATTTAAAATATACTTTTGATAATACTTCAAAATATACTTTGATTATATTAACCCAGAATGGCACTTCACCAGATATTTCTTTCAAAACTGAAAGTACTTATCTTTTTTTAGGAGTTTTTCATTTTCAATCACACATTACCACAAAATGTTTTCCATCTGTAGCTAAAATATTCAAAAATACTAGATTTAACTCAAGTTGTAATACTCATTTTGTATAGGTCTTTTGATAATGAAATGCCATGAAGGTGGGAAATCATAAAATAGGATCAGGTTAATATTCTTATTAACCTGATCCTATTATAGCAGGTTAATATTCTTATTAGGAACATAATATAAAGCAGCGGTTTCCAACCTTTCTGACTTCATGGACCACAACTCAATTTTTAATCTCGCAGACAACTATCAAATTTTTTCAAACAATACAAACATCTATAGAGTAATGATCACAAAAGTTCCATTTTACTTTATTAATCTGAAATTCAATTGTTTAATTATAACAAATTAGTGTGAAGTTTGTTGCTGCTTGTTTGAAATAAGTTTATAGATTCTTGGCTCTTTTCCAGGATGACAATTGTAATCACATTATTTATTGATAACAGTCATTTTGTGTTTGGTTCTAGATTTGAATAAAAATCCCCAATAAGTGAGAAAAAGCAACCAAACATTTTGCATTTCTTTTGTAGTACTTTGCATAACCTTGAGTTGATCAATGTCCAAATTTCTCCACAAACCACCAGTTGGTAACCACTGATATAAAGTACATAATAAAAAACACAAGAGTTGGTCCATTTTTGCAATATTTGCTTCCAACTCTGATTCTACAGCCCTAGTTGTGACTGACAGACAAGTAAATATTTACATTCTTAAATCAGATTTAAGAAGACACAAGCATCATCAGTTTCAAATTAATATGAGCCAAACATATATAATGAATTATAGGAAGAATATATACATATATAAAGATGCATGCATATATTATAGTTTGACCAATCCTATTTGAACTTTTGGATTCTATAACACATTATAATTATTTATAAAACTTTAATCTTTTGGAAAAAAAAGCATATTTTATTTAAAAGAATTGCTTTCGGGCAACTAAATTAAATTTTGATGAAGACTTTTCTACAAGACCTCACAATATGGTCCTCAGGGATTTCAATAATAATGCTTGTATGGATAAATCTTGATTTGAAACTTTATTAAGCAAAGGGAGAAAATGTGCCTTTGAAATGTTTCCAAAAAAGTCCCAAACACCTTATGAGTATGATTTGTGAACCATTTTTCCAAATGTGTGGCTTGACAGCATAGTGTCAGACTCTTGTGAGATCATTGATTTAAGTCTTGATGAGTCCACTTTTCTTCATCTTCAAAATTTGTTTTCAGAATTGCTGTCTATTAAAAATGCATCTAATTAAAAATTTTTATATTTGAGAATGTAAAAATGTTATGAATAACTTGAATATTAGTTCAAAATAGTGTGTTCCATTTTCCATTATAATGCTTTTATGAGGTTATTTCCTCAATACAGGCATTGCAAGAGAGCTAGGAATTTCCATTATATAGTAACTCTCTAAAACAATAGTAGTATTTTTATAGGCAAGTAAAAGAATTTATCAAACATCTTCAAAATTGTTCATATCTGATTGAACAGCAATAGAAAATATCATTCCAAGAAGACTGTGTTCAACAACTATTGGCCTTAATTTTTGCAAAAATATTACGTTATGTGTGGTTTGCTTCAAAGCTGATGGATGAAAGAGGCATTTTTATGAATGTTCACAAAGTATGTTTTGCTGTTGATAATCTAAAAAAAAAATATCCCTGTGAGTATAAAAAAAACAGCTTTTCTACAATATGAGATGTTGTGGGACTTGTTTCTCTTGTTTTTATGATAATTTATCATCCCAACTCACATAGTAAATCTGCTTGAAATTATTAATAAAATATATATTTTATTTAATTTTTTTTGTCACTAATTTATTCAAATTTACTAACTTAAAAAATAAATCTTTATATGTACAGTATTTTTAATAGACAGCAATTCCAAAAATGAATTTTGAAGGCAGAGGTTAAAAAAAGAAAACTGCATACTTTT